ATTATTATCAGTCCACCAAGGTCGATGGTACGGGAACAGTGAAATTTGATATGGGAGGGGAAATAGCAGGATGAATAGTGCAATCTACCTCATTTGACCAATTACACTCGTGTTTAAAGAACATCAGTTTCCACCTCACCGATTATTTAGGTCACGCAATAACTGCATAGCACATATATTTACTAATCATTCGGAATCGTTGTCAAGAGATCTAACCCTATACCCCCCCNCATCCTTGCAGCTAATGCAACTGCATTCATTCCGACTGTGTACTACTGAAGCGATATCCGTTGGCACACACTGACGGTCGGGAAGAAAGAAAGCTCCCTAATTATGAAGATGATGATACTGACGACGACGACGACGACTTGATCGCGGTAACTTGATCGTCTCGCCGCGGCCGACATCAAATACCGACTCCTTAGTGTCTGTCGTGAAAATTCATATAGGCAAGTTGAGATGCCCGAATAACCTTGCTTGACACTCCAGCCGCATTTCTGCCAGTCTCAGAATACCGCTGTTCGTAAACACACATCTGGCAGTTCGGTATTCGCCACCTTTTTCGGTGCCAGAAACCAACGTGCCAAGACATCATCAACTGGGGATGAAAATTCTAGGGATTGTGTGTGATCTGACAGATAATTGTATCAACTTTTTATACATACTATATTATTGTTATATTGAAGTCGTTCCGGGGTCAATCCATGAAAATAATCGTGATAACACCATGAATGGTCCATATGGAGATGATAATTTGCACGAAAAGGATTCGGTAACATGCCTCGATTCTAACGGTTTAAAAACGATTTTTAAACTATCTAAAAAATGTTTGTTGTTTCTACAATACAACATTGAGATGATCAGGTATTTCTATTTGGAACATTCAATGAAAAAATGACCTAACAGATCATTTGATTTTGTTCATTACCAAAACTATAAAAATTGAAAAATTCTGATAATACCGTTCAAATGCTTTGAGTAAAATCACGTTTGACCGCAAAGCATCGGATCCCTAGGTCACTGATGATGTGTTAAGTGTTCATGGATTGCGCGATCAGTTGGCAAACTGATTTATTTTAATTTAATTGCTCTATTCCATCTGATTGACTGGTTCCCTGTCTCCTTGGTTGGAAAGTTATGAAAGAATGTTCCATTCACGAACCATCTTTGAGATGTAGTCTGCCGAAAATCGTGTTACCGGATGAAGCAAACATTGAAACAAATAATTTTTCAAAGTTTTGCTTCACATTCGTCTCTAATGCATCACAATTCGCGCTTTTGTACAATGTGCGAAGCTCACTCACTTCCCAACTCACTTCCAACTGGGGCTTAAACACGTCCAAAAAAGGTGAGCGCAACGAGGGACCAAGTTTTCACCGGATAAAAATGATACAGATGAGGGTAAAATGGGGCTCCCACTCGTGCACATTTGAGTCCGACTAGCTGCACACATACTCTCCCCTTGACCACCACTCCGCCTCCTGCGACTGCCCCTACGCTTTGCTGTGCACAAGAGGTAGTACCTTGTCTACACTTCATGATCAAGTACGTCATGATATGTGGTACACCGCCCTTTCCTCCCGCATGCCCACATCAAAACTAAAAACTAGTCAACATCGCATTTTGCAGAAGTATCTATTGAGTAGAACGGATCAAGCAGTTTCACTTCCTGTGTCGCTTTAAAATCAACATGCGGATGTACTTGAAAATATGTTTACAATTCAACCGGACCAGGGGAAATGGAGTTCTACCAACTCGTGTTTATGCCTCAATTGCACTCAATCAGTCATTCAGTCATTTATTCATTTATTCACTCAAAGGTCGGTTGGATCCCGCGGTTTGGTATCCTCGTGACACGCTTGCATTCGTCTTCAATGGATGCACTTGACGAGTGTAAACGCCTAGCTTTGACTGAATTGCAGGAAGTACTTGACGCATGAGAATCATAAGTGCTAGATTGCGTTGTTCACGATAACCAGGAACATAGAATTTCATGTGCTCTGGGGAAATAGGGATATGACTGTTGCAGTTGGAATAAGTCTACCTCTATCAGGAGGAGATAAGTGAATCGGTTGGATTGCTGGAGTTACGAACTGTCAACTGCAACTCCCGAAGACACAATCAGTCAGCCGTTCATTCAGCCAAACAAATTCGGCGTACAACTGGAATCCTCTCTCCCCCGCTCAATTCTCAGCGTCAAGTAAACACTGCGACCAGGATAA